TTCGTTATTTTTTAGATGCAAAAAACTGAAATTCATCGGTCACCAAATGAGCGAAATGAATTAGCAGAAATTGGAGCTGAAATAATAATTCATTCATTTGATCGACCATTAAGTGAAGAAAGTAGAAAATGTGTTTCAGGAGGAACAAATAAAAAAACAACAAGTCTTAATTATCCATTACATGAAAGAAATAATATCAAAGTCATTTTATTTTATTTTTCGTTCTTTTTTTTTAAATAAAACTTGAATTCAATTTTTAGTGTTGTGCATGGTGGCCATCACAAGAGTATCCATATGTAGTTGCTATCGGGCAACCTAATGAACGGATTATATTTTGAAAAGTTTGTTTTTATTTGAAAAAAAATCTGTATAATATAAAATTTTCAATGACTTATTAGTGTTAAAGATCGATCAGATCCATTGAGTCAAGGAAGAATAGGTTTTGTTATTAGGATTATTTATAAACAAAATAATAATGATACTATTTTTTTTTATTTAAGTATTCGATCCAAAACATATTCGATCATGTGCTGCACTTTGTTCGAATCAAAAAATTCCTAATTTAGTATTGATTTTCTTTTTTATAAAACGATTTTAATTAAAATTTATTTTTTATGGATTTTGTTAGGTTTCGATAAATGTCGTTCTGAACATTGTTTAGCAATTTGAGATATAAATCATAATGGTGTATCATCCCATCAATTAGCAGGCATAGCATCATCATCAGCATCAAATATTGATGAATACAAAAGAATCGATATGTTTGTTCATAATCAACAATATTGAAAACCAGTATTTGAATCTGGAATGAACGATCAATGTTTGTCATTAGCATGGTTTAAACCAAACGAACGTTGTTTTGCTGCATCTATAGCACAAGCTACTGCAAGAACTATTAGAATTATGATCCACGTGGTTAGTTTTATTTTATTTTATCATAAAAAATCAAAAATTGAACATGTCATATATTATTCGATGTTAGACAGAAATCAGCTTAGAAAGAAAAAAGCATCAAACAAAAAATAATTTTCAATGTACTTTTAGTTATAATTTCACTTACAAAGAGAACAAAAATAGACTCGAAGATTTCATCAGACTTGATGATATTTCAACATTTATAAATTTTTCGATAAAAGTACAAATAATATTGAACTCGAATTTATAGAAATATCTTTCATAGCTTATTTATCAGTTATTGATTGGGGGGGGGGGGGGGGGGGAGAGGAAAAAGAGCTGGCCATTTTCCTTCCCAAAAATTGTAGAAAAAGTTTTGTGTTTCTC